CCTCCCTTGGGGCCTCCGCAGCCCCACAGGCACAGAGGAGCCACACAGGGATCTCACTGCTGCTCACCCCACAGTGCCCCAGCGATGCACCTCCTGAGCATCGGGCTGCACTGAGGGAAGCAGCATGAGGCTGTACTCCTCAAATCAGCAGCAGGCACAGGAGGCGAGTCAACAGGACAGCGGGGGGGGGTGAGGGGATCCCCATGTGGCCCTGCTGTTCCCAGACACCAGGTCATACCTGTGGGGCTGCAAAGGCCCTGCGGGAGGGAAGAAGGGCAGGAGCTCGAGTCTGCAGCCTACCCCACACATAAATCTGGGGCCATGGGTTCATCTCTGCCCGAAGGAGTGCACATGGAGATGGGGAGCCACCCCACCTGAGCCCACAACAGGGCCCCCTCCAGCAGGGCTGCGGGTGGGAGGCAAGAGGCACCAGCAAGGCTGTGGGGTTGTGGGGGAGTGAGAGGCACATGCAGGGCTGGGGGGCGGCATTTAATTTTAACAACAGATTTTGGGGGTTTTATCAGAGAATTTGCGATTTTTTTGTCAGGGAAAACCAGGATCCCTCTTTATCAGTCATGACTTGCTTCAGGATACATAACAGACCTTTTCTTTCTACTCCCCACTGTGCCCTTCCACATATCTTGACCATGTTGGTATAAAATCCTTCTCTCTTGTAGCTCCTGTTGTATGGAACAAGTTTCCCAGTGGCTCCTTGTATTTCATCCCTCAAATGAAAATGCATGTACAATCATTACCTTGGCTACAATCCCTAGTTATCTACTCCCCAACTTTAAAGCAGTATAAGAAACAGCCTGTATAAAATAATAGTTGCCATTTTAACCAGCTAACCATTTTAGGATCTCAAAATGCCTTACAAAGCCTCAAAACCATTCAACCCATGAGATGAACAAAGATTTGTAACTATTAATGGATGAGTAATCAGAAACAGTATAAAAAGTCTCATGGAAAAATGGAATTAAGTTCAGGAGAATTCACACAACTCATGGCTTCTTCTTGTCAGGCCTATGTCATGCTACAAACTGAAGTAACTAAGTTTAGAGACAACATGTCATTTTGTTTTTGAAATTCTCACACAATATTAGGCTTTCATTCTCAAATGAGTATTATCCAAGCAGACCACTGAACCCCTATGAAATTCACTACAAGTTTGGAGCTTTAGTCCCCTGATACAGCCATTTAACACTGGTGAACAGGGAGACAGGACAATTAACAGTTAATTTAAAATACACATGCACAAAATAAAAGATTGCTGTCAATTCTGTTTTCAAAGTAACATAACAAAGAATAACTATGAAAGATCAAGTGTGAATATGTATACAAGCAGGAAATCAATGATTCCTAGGAAATGCCAAGAATGTTACAGATTTGGGGAGAAAAAAAAAGTTGGATCAGTTCTGCCCTGCCTGAAAAAAACAAACTTAAAAGGCTTCTCAGTTGAGGGCATTCAGCTACCTTTGGATGTGTTGCTAAGTGATAAGTTATAATACTAGCACACACTGTATCCTTAGGTTAAATTTGCTCCTGTAACTTACTCAGGTGGTTTGTTTTCAGCATCTGCAGGTTGAGTCAAAGGTTCATACTCCACATGAAGAGCACCTTTACCAGTCTGCACAACCTCAATCTCAGAATCTGAACAAGCAACATCCCCTCTTCTTTTCTTTGGAAGTGAGCTGTGACTTCTGCCACTCTTGGCATCTTGTTCATTATCCTCATGATTAGCATTGCCTGTTTCCTGAGATTCAGCTCTGCTCATCAGCCTGCCTAAAGAGAAAAAAATGATAGAGAATTGTCTTTCAGCTACAGTTTTTAAATTAGCAAGACTTATGATAGGCTGAAAGATTTAGGATTATTTAGTCTGAAAACAAGATTGAGGAGGATTTGATAAGTTATTTAATATCTGAAGTGTGGTTATATCAAGGATGAAGACAGATTATTCTCTGTGGCTGCAGGGGATGGGACCAGGCACAATGCTCTTGAATTGCAGCAAGACAATTTAGAGTGAACATTAGGAAGAACTTTCTTAGTATAAGGATAGTTAAGCATTGGAAGAGACTACCTAGAGAGGCTGTAGAATCTCCATCCTTGGATGTTTTTAAGACCAGGTCAGACAGACATTTGCCTGGGATGGTTTAGTCAGCAACAAACCTGCCCTGAGCAAGGGGCTGGACTAGGCAAGCTCATGAGATCCCTTCCAGCCCTACTATTCTATAATTCTATGAAAAGCTAATGCGCATTTTGAAAGGCAGATTTCCGTGTGGTATCTAGAAGGGAACACAGACTATTGGGGCAAGGACATACACAGCTTTAAGACAGAAGAGCCATAAAAGACTAGCTCCAACATGGTCTGGAGGCTGGGCTAGCATTGCTAAGCTATAGCAGGGATTCTCAACAAGGGTGCCACAAGAGCCTTTGAAGGGTGCCACACGGTGTGAAGAGATAAGCAGTTAAGCATAGGGTCAGAATCATCCCTATCTGGCCATTCCCCTGCCCCCAATGCCTGGCCCTTCTACAAGGAGGTACACACTGTAGAAAGTTAAATTTTTGAAATGGGGTACTGCTCAATTCATACAAGTTATGGAAGTGTCTTGAGTCCTAGTGAGGAATCTAAAAAGGTTGAGAACCACTGATTTAGGGTTTCTCATTCTTTGAATCATACTCAAAATTCAAGATGCTATAGACCACCTGCCCTTCCAACTTTGCAAATACCCTACTGTTTGCTTCTAAAAATTCAACAGTTTGCAGACAACCAGGAATAGTTCCATGATGTACAGGATGAGGATAACTGCACCAGAGCCTTTCAGACATCATTTTATATTACCTGAGTAAGTGCAAACAAATGTTCCTTTGTCAATATCATCAAGGCAGCGGACTCCCCAGCCTTTCTTTTCTGTGTTAAACACCTGTAACCGAACCTGGATGCCATGCTGTACTACTCTGTTCTGACACAACATTCGGTTACACTTGCATGATACGTTACATTCGTAAATTCTGTCATGAAAAAAAGGGAAATTAAGAAGTCACTTGTCCATGTCTTTAGGGGATAACCAAAAAAGAAAATCACTGAAAATACACAGATATTTGAAAAGAATTAGCAAAGCACTGCACTGCTTGAGCTTGGACCTCCTCTTTGCCTGCCAGTTTGCAGTAGTTCATCCCTAAAAATCAGAGAGACTAATATAGGAAAGTTATAAAATCTAGAGATATTCAGCAACGACTCTACAACTTCCAGATATCCTGACAAAGAATTTCTTTTTATCCCAGAACACCTTCTGGGGAGTGACAAGACAGTCAAAATGCACAGACTTCATCATAGTCATGAAAAATCCAGAATTCTGGAATTTTTAAATTATCCACACCTATGAGATTTTGGAGTGGACAGTGCTGAAAGGCAGTTACAACTTCAGCAAGAGGTCTTTTTTTTCCAAAGGACATCAAGAAGTCAGTCATGACCTGGCAACTCACAAAAATGCATGGATGGAAGAAAGCTCCTGAATCACTGAGTCTAGTCCCTGGCTATTGCAGGCAACCACATCACAATCTTCTGTGTATGATGCCATACTATCACAGTACCTGTTTTGTTATCCTATTATCATATCATTTTTGCAGCATGAGCTAAGTAGCACTTGCAATACAAACCCTATTTGGTGATATTTTGTTTCAATGTATTTAACTGTTTTTTGCTTATTTCACCAGGATTAGGCAATAGAGTTTCTATAAAAATACGCAATACGAGATGCTGGCAAAACAAGAGCTGTTTCAGGCTAGTGTGACCAAAATACTCATGCACATAGATAAAATACCGATATGAACTGTAGGCTGCTTACCCACTAGTAATGGGCATCTCCAGTCTTTTATACTTATATCCACAAAGTGCTTTATTTGGCAACATGGAACTTTCACTAAAGCCTCTTGCAGTCAGCTGTAGGCATGCACATTTTAACCTAACAAAGGCAACAGTATAAAGTCACATGAAAATGCATTTAAACGAATGATCTCACCTTTAAATCTAGTCAGTTTAAAAAGCATGTTAGCATATTCTCCACCATAGCCAATTAATTCAGGAACTACATCTTATCCTTGTAAATCAGTGTAGTAGATGGGACTGCAAACAAAATTTCTTCACATATTTTCTGTCTCCTATGCTCTGTCATAGGCCCGCACAAACAACCACAACAGAGCTGGGGGAGGTAAACTTACTTACCTACCGACAAAATACTGAAAAATGCATAAAGCAAAGAAAAGGAAAAAAAAAAAAAAATGGTTACAGCACCCCTTCCTGCTGCTGCTTTATCCCCTCCCAGCAGAAAGACAAAAGTGCAGTTACTTATGCTGACTGTGACACCGTCACCTTACACTACTGTGTCAAAGACTTGTAGGGCTTGCATGAAAGATACCTGGTCCTTTCTGTAACCCCTACATGCTCTAACACATTAACTTTCAAGTTCTGCAGGAGACTGGAGGAACATGTTACAGGTTAGGTGCTTCCAGCAGGAGAGCTGGAGCTTCATAATCTGAAACACTGTATGCTTTTGTTACATATTGTTGCATACAGGCAGTCCTCCGACTTACAACACAATTGGTTCCTGAAAACCAAGTCTTAAGTCGAAACGTTGCAACTCAGAACCAATTTTCTCATAAGAAACAATGTTACAAATGGGGGATTGGTTCCTGAACCAAGGCCCGATACCCTATTTTCACCAAAAATACCCCAGACTTTTGTAGTCGATCAATTATAGATGAGTAATATAGTTACATTAATGTATTTATATTGTAAATAGTAAGCATATTGATTTGGAAGGACTTTTTTGAGGTGACTTTGCTGAACTTTTTGAAAGACTCTTGGCTGGACTTTTTGAAGGGTTCTTGGCTGGAGTTCTCGGGAGTCTTGGCTGCAGGTTTTTCTGGAATCTTATCTGCTTTCTTAAGGAAAGTGTCCATGGAAGTTTGGACAGATGTTGTCCAGGGAGATGAGTGATGTAGCTAACTTGTTCGCTGGCGTGGCATCGCATCAGATTCAAGCGTTGTAAAGTCAAAACTGATGTCATAAAGTTGAAACAGGGTGTCAATTTAGAAACACCGTAAGTACGAAACGTTGTAACTCGAAATGTTGGAAGTCGAGGACTGCATGTGTATTATTGACATACCATATTTACTCAAATATAAGATGACCCTGAATATAAGATAATCGCCCACGATAATCCAATTCCATTTATGGAAAATTTATAAATTTGTTATAATTTTCTACGTCTGGAATCTAAGTACTGGAAGGTTGTCTTGAATCCCCCCAACACTGTTACAGCAGAGAAAACAGTGGCTGGGGTGGGAGGATCAAGTGGACCCCTTGCCCTCTGCCCTGCCCTGCCTACTTCTTCCTCCTGCAGCCTTCCTGCCACCTGCATTCCCCCACTCCCAGCTCCCCACAGCCTCTGCTCCTCTCCCCAGTTCTGCCTCCTCCCTCCAGAAAGGAAAAAA